TCTCTCTCCCTTCCTCTCTCTGAAATCAATAAAAGCATATATATATTTTTTACAAATGAGCATACAGCGTCAGGGTCGTGGTCTCTACTAGTTGGTTGGCGGTAGGGTAAGGGGGTCATTGGTTATTGCATCTGGTCCTGATGCCAGCCATGGCATTGCTTCAACTGCTTTTGCTGCTCTTCTGGGCCTGGAGCAGAAACACAACTGAGGCCTAGATGTTACCTCTAGTTTGACCAAAACTCTGTCTCTGTGGTCAACAGACCCGAGGCTTTGTTCCTAAGGTTCTTTGATGCTGATCAGAACCTCATTGTCCTGAGGGCTTAATTCTTAAGGGAGTGGTCACGCAAGGGAGGAGGAGGAAGGTAGGTCAGGGTGCTGGATGCGACCAATTTGCATCAGCTATCTGTCTCAGTTTCTCCATTCCACTTGACAAGGAATTTTCCTACCTTCTTACTATTCTGCTTCGTCTCCACTCACTCTCTTTGCTGAAGCCTGAGTCATTTCTATAAACACTCCCTGAGATACCCCTTCAGTGCTTTCCCATTGCCCATTAGGATTATTTTTCCTGTTGGTCCCACACCCTATACTGCTCAGCCATCTCTCACTTAAATGCACAGCTCTCCAAACATTAAAAAAGGGAAGCGCCAGTTAGGTTAAACTTCTAGGGGCTCGTCCATGCCCCCATTGTGACTTCTAGTTCCTTTTCCACTACCTAGAGACAATGTCACTAGAGAAGGAAACTGTGTGGATGCAACCAAAGAGCTGAGCTAGCTCCCCTTTGAGGGCATGAGGAAACCAGAGAACCCTAAAACTCACACTTTCAAAAAGCAGGACATTCTGGGATTGATCCTGGTTTTCCTGTGTTTAGCACAGAGAACTAGTATGTGGAAGGAGAAGCTCCATGCCTGGAGAAGCTTCTCCAGGCTCTGGTTTCCTTCCCTGTAGGGCAGTGGTTCTCAACCTGTGGGTCGCAACCCCCTTTGGGGGCCTAAGACCATCGGAAAACACATATATAATTACATACTGTTTTTGTGATTAATCACTATGCTTTAATTATGTTCCATTTGTAACAATGAAATTGGGGGTCACCACAACATGAGGAACTGTATCAAAGGGTCGCGGCATTAGGAAGGTTGAGAACCACTGCTGTAGGGGCTCCCTTGCTTTGATTCTTGCTGTCACATACCTGCCTTTCTCCCTGTGACAAAATCCTCCTCCTTTAAAAAACCAGGACCTCCTTAGAATAGCTGCAACAGGCTAACTTCTTTTCCAAAAGAATTTTACTAAATAACAAAATGAGCTAATGAGAGAGAAAAAAAAGAGAGAAATCATAGAACACACAAGCATCGGGTTTAAGATTACTGTAATTACATTTTACACCTCCATGCTCCTTCAGTGAGGCTGGCCACCAAGCTCCTAGACTTGGCATTTATAAAAACTTCACCGTAAAGTTGAACCCCCCCCCCCCCCCCCCCCCCCCCAGTCTACAGCTCTCTTGCGGTCCATTTCTGTTCAGCTAAATGGTGGGACGCTTGGAGATTGACTCAGAGAATGTCCCGAGCTTTTAGGCAATCCCTTATCTAGTCCTTTAATCACAACAGCCATGTTAGGAAATTTTACCCCTGGGAGAGCTGGATTGGCCCTGGGGCTCCTGGCATGGTCTGAGAAACACTTCTTTGTAATGAGGGTGGCTGGAGCCGGGAGAAGAGACCTGATAATTATGAAGCTCTTAACATGGGCTGAACACTTGACATATTTAATTTTTAGCACGGACCTTTGCTGTAGGTGTCAATCAGTAGTTGTATTTTGTAGAACTTGGAACTCAGAGGGTTAAGTAACTTGTTCAAGATTTTGAAGCTAAATGGCTACACTAAGAATGAAGTTTGGGCTGGTTGATGATGTTTGTGATCTGAACCGTGCAGCATAAGGAGTTTGAGGTGCCCTTGCTTTCTTTGAATGTGCAGGCTTTCCCACCTTATTTGTCTGGTTGGAGGGATTCTTTCAGTCTAAAAACATTTGCTGAACTCCCTTATGTCCATTCCTCTTTGATAGTAGGAGGTATAGACGTTTCATAGACAAAGTCCTTGCCTGCTGCCAGTTTACTGGGTGACTTCAGGTGAATAATTCAACCTACTTACATGTCAGATCAGAAATGGAGTGATATCAGATAAGGCACAGTATACTTTTGGTGGTATCTTCAGCTATGCAGTGTGCATAACAGAACACTTATTTTTTTCTCTGGGTCAAAGAGGTGATGCAGGCTCACAATTTGACACATGGTATAAAACTCATGGGAATCTGAAACTTCCTGAAGTTCTTTTTTTTTTTTTTTAAATAAAAGCAACAGACATCAGTTATTTGCATGGTGCTCTACAAAGCGTTTTCAGATATCTTCACCACTGATTCCTCATCCCACCTGTGAAGTTCAATTAATGTCCTCATTTTAATAGAGGAATCTGGGGGTCACACAGTCAATCAAGGTAATGCAGGCAGAGGTGCTTAACCTTATTTTATTTTTCAGCGTGCCTCAGTTATTTAGAAAATTATTTTTTGACCTCAATAATTTGTAATAGTGCACAACACAGATACCATCAACAGGCAAACGAAAACACAAAGCCAGAGTCCACAACACGTAGCTGTAAATCATTAGAAACTCCAAACAATCCATAACAGTAAGGGATCATCTTCATGTTTATTATACAACAATGTCTGGGAGTCGTTTGGAATGGGTTGGCTTCTCTCAAGAAAGTTGTTTGTGTTCAGTTGAGGGATAGCCAGCTAAGATTCAACTTTTTTATTTTTATTTTTTTAAAATTTTTATTTCTGTGAGGGTATGAAGGCTGAGCAAACAGGGATTGTCTAGAGAATTAGCACGGGGAAATAATAACCATATAAAAGCTTTAGGCACACAAAGAAGTTAACAGTCCCACAATCAACAGCAAGCTGATTGACAGCATGCCCTCCTTTGGGGGTGGCGGTGGTGGTGAACTGTGGAGCCCAGGCCCCCGGCGAACAAAGGACACCCTCCCCCACCCTCTTCTCCCAGCAGGGCCCGCAGTCTATTAGGCCTGTTTAGAGGCAAGACCTCCCGGGGTGGGGGAGTGGGTTCCGTGCCGCCCAGTTTTGGGGTGAACGCTGGTAGGCCTGCCAATGCAGAGAGGGTGGACTTGGAAGGGAGCCGGTTTCTCCCGGGTCCTCAGCGGGCCCGGGCTTGGGGGAGCTGGAAGCACCGGGGGGGGAGGGGGGGGGGGTGCCTCCTGGCCCCTGGGCCTCCCCCGTCGTCACTAGGAGGGCACCCTGTGCGTGCACCTTTTTGCAGCCCAGGGTTTGCACGGAGGCAGGTACCTACGTGCTAGAGGTCACCTTTCCTGGGGCTCCCAGGGGGGCAGACCTGCCTCGGGTGGCAGGTGACAGGGGACCCTGGGTGGGGCTATGGG